TGCTGACAACACCAAGTCAAGGGTTAAGATCCCCTTACCGGTCATCTTTTTAAAAAAAAAAAAAAAAAAAAAAAATGGTATTTTTAGGTAATGCATGAATGAGCCAAAAGGTTCTTGAGTAGGGGATGAAAGTCCACAGATAAGTTTGGCCCGCCATCAAATCAATTCTAATCACTGTTTAGGGATGGGACTGTGTACTTTGACTGCTTTAGGTTGCTGGTTTGATTCCGGCTTGAATGACTATTGACTATTTAACCTACTGATTGTTCTTTAGATATGTTAAGAAAACTGCTTGAATGCTGTTTAAATATGCTGAAGAAATCGCTGTAGGAAGTATGTAGAAAAGAAAATGTTTACTAAGGACAAGCTGTTTGTTGGCAAATTGACCTAGCTTTTTACAAATTACATTCTGGAATGTCACACTGTTAATCTACTGCTGTTACTAGTTTTACACTGCCTGTTTTTATGTCTTTCTTTGATGACTGAATCAACTGATATTTCTTGTGAAACTTCCTTGTCTTGTCAATAAAAAGAAAGGCTGATTTTGAATCAGGGCTGCTGCTCCCCTGATGGGTGGCGGTGCCTCCAGGCCTCACTGATGGTACTTTGAGTGAATTCTTTCTTTCTTTTGATGACTGAATCAACTGATATTTCTTGTGAAACTTCCTTGTCTTGTCAATAAAAAGAAAGGCTGATTTTGAATCAGGGCTGCTGCTCCCCTGATGGGCGGCAGTCCCTCCAAGCCTCATTGATGGTACTTTGAGTGAATTCTTTCTTTCTCTTTTTTCCATCTCAGTTACACAAAGGAAAGTATAACAATCTTCTCTTACAAACATCAATGATTAGGGTTCTATTCATGGAAGTAACGAAAATAAAACATTGACATTCAACTGGGTGATAAAAATGACACCATCATCAATCCTACTATCCTGGCATCAGCCACTCAGTGGTAACAAGGTACAGTGTAAAAAATGTCAGCCATGAGTCCCTCATAACCCCAAATAACTAAAAAATATAACATAACTTACTGTCTAATTTCTGCCTTGACAGCATTTGAAGCCCTGGGATAGCAAATGCTGAACAAACCACATGCAGATGTGCGAGAAGTGAACCAATCTCCACTTGCAAGGCGTTTCACCAGAGGTACAAAATGAGCTTCCAGAGCAACAGGAGTATGCTCCTGGGAGATCTGCCTCAGGGACTCCACAGCCCTGTCACGAACAACAGTCTCTTCCACAGTTGCCAGACTTTCCAAAGGAGGCTAAATAGATCAAAAAGGAAAACCAGAGAAGAAAATTTATCAAATCAAGTTAAATACAGATTACCACCTTTTAAAGCAACTGAAGGGAGGTAGTACACTTAACCAGAATGTTAGCTACATCATACCAAATGGTACTTTCAGTTCACACAGTGACAACATATGGTGTGGCCAACCCAAAGACACGACTTCTGCAGAAAAGCCAATAGCTCATGTCCCAGATGGCAATTCCCAGATGGTGTCTACAAATGACACAGTGGAAAGACTTGACACCATGTTAATATTATTGTGATCTACATCACTAGCAGTAAAAGACAGGTGGCCAAATTCAGACAGAACTGTACATATTTCCTCAAGAGTAAGCACAAAAACATGACCAACATTGAGGGCCATTATTATATGATGACATCTTAGGTCACTGAGTGCGCAGTCTTTTGAGTATTATTCTACCATTCCTGGAGGTATAAACAACCCTGGTCCACTAGTTCTACATCATCAATTTATCCAACCTATAAAATGCTGAGTACAAAACCACTTTTTCCACAATACATTCAAAATCTTTCCATAAGCCACAGAGCAGGAGTTTCTAACAGAACCATCAAGTGAAAAGGACAGAGATGATAGGAGACCTTGCCTGTAGCTTTAGAAATAGAAGGGACCACAGGGGCTGACAGTCCGGACTAGGGTTAGTAACTGAATACGACATGACCCAGTGAAAAGTGAAAACAAGCTGGTTTTCTGAACCTCTGCCTTTTCTGGGTTTGCACTTGGTCCAGGTAGATTTAGCATATGCCATGAGCTCAAAATGTTAAGGTACAAAACTCACATGTAGAACTGACCAAGAGTGAAACACAAGGACAATGACTCAAAAGAAAGAAGTGTGTCTACCTAAAATCTATTTGAAAATTGTTTGATACATGGAGGTACACATTATTCAGCTTTCCTAGAGAATATTTTAGAAGCCCATTGAAAAGACACTGTTTCTCACTTGCCAAGGCCTTCCATGATCTGACTCCTGCCTACTGTGACCTCTTCTCATACAGTACACTGGATATCCTCTATCACTATTACAGGATAAGGATTCTGAGAATAGCTTAAGAGTTGTCTCTTGATTTGAATTTGAACTCTGTCCACTTCTACATGCCCTTTTACTACTGGCCCCTGATGACCACTCCTGCCTACTCTGACCCCAACACTTCATACTCCAGCAGTTTTGAATCCAACATGTCTCATGCTTCCTAGCCTCTGAAACTCATTCTTTTAATAAATGATAACTGTTGTATTCTAGCACCGAGGAGACACGAAAAACAAAGGAGACAAGGTGCCTAGCTCCAGTGGAGCTTAAATTCTAATGGAGGACAATGATCAATCAAGAAAACAATTAGATGGGAATGAGTACTAGTAGAGAAATAGAATAGGATGTGAAGGGTAAATTGGGTTGCTATTTCAAATTGGGTGGTCAGCGAAGGCCTCCCTAAGGAGATGCTTTGATGTCTGAATGATAAGGAGCCAGCCATAGGAAGCTGAAAAGACCATTTCATTAGAGGGAATACTTAGGGCAAAGGTCATAAAGCAATAATGAGCTTCGTTTATTCGAAGAACCAAAAGAAGACCAATGTAAATGGAGTGATGTTATCAAGAGTGAGCATAATATGTGAGAACCCTACAGAAACAGGTCCCAAAAGGCCTTGAAAGCTAAGTATGGAGTTTGGATTTTCTAAGAGCCATGCAGGGAACGATCCACGTGCTGAGCAGACTGAACTGTAGGGGTGCAGAGGGAGACAAGAGTGGAAGGCCACTAGTTAGGAAGCTACTGCAGTAACCTAGAGGAAAGCGTGATAGTCTAGACTAGGATGGTAGTAGTAGGAATGGAGGAAAGTGGACTGATTTGGAATATATGTAAGAGCTACTAATGGATTACACGTGGGGAACAATGGAAAGAGAATTCAAGAATATCTTCTAGGCTTTGGTTTGTACAACTGGGTAGATGGTGATACCATTTACTGAGATAGGATAACTAAATGAGAGGCAGATTTGAGGGAGAAAACTGAGTTCTGTTTTAGGTATATTCAATTTGAAATACATGTTTAACATCCAGGCAGAAAAATCATAGGCAAATATACATAGAAATAGATAAATACACACACACACACACACACACTCCCCCACACACATCTATACGTATCTGTTTATCTATCAATCTGTCTCTGGAGTTCCATGGAAAGGTCAGAGGAAGAGAAAGAAATCAGGAGAGTCTGCATCATATAGACAGTATTTAAAACTCAAGCATCCAACCTTGTCCAACTGTTGAATTCCTAATCATCCTTTAAAACCTAGTTCAGACATCATTTCTCAAGAGGACTTCCCTAATCATCCTTAGTTAATCCCTTTCTCCTCTTTATTACTTGGATACTTTGTATGTGCTTATATTTTTCCATTTAAGACTGTACAGTTTGGGCCGGCCCGGTGGCGCACTGCTACAGTGCGCCGCTTGGGAAGTGCGGCGGCGCTCCCGCCAAGGGTTCGGATCCCACATACAGAGCGGCAGCTCACTGGCTGAGCGAGGTGCAGTCGCAACACCGAGGGTTGCGATCTCGTTGCCGGTCACGAAAAAAGACTGTACAGTAATTATTGTTGACATAGAGACCTCATTCCATTCACTTTGGTCTTCTTTAACATCAACACTGTAACTTACAATGTGCCTAATATAGTAGACTCTTCATAAATATCAACTAAATTGAACTGACCTCATCAAATTCACAAAGTAAGTCAGAAGCAAAAGTTACACTAACAATTAAAGACAAAACATTGCTAGATAAGAATTAAGATTTCCAATATCAGGAGGTGGGGGGGGCAGACATAAAAACAATCAAATCATTTTTCTCCCCACCTCTAAACTATTAAGTCTACAGAGGCAGTAAAAGAAAAAGGAAGTTCTTGTATTCACAATCAGAAAAAATAAGAAAGGGTTGAGTTCAAAGCGCCTGTTACTTGTTCTACATTAATGGCTAATATTATGATTATCTGTGCGTAAAAAGATCTGCATAAAATATGCTACAGTGTGCCTATCACCAAACAATGAATCATTTAAACTGCAAAAGTTCTAGAAAAAGGATAGGCAGCTTATAAGTACTCACCAGCAGACAGTGGGCAAAGTCAGGACCTCCCACCAGGCCAGTGAAATTTCCCAGCTGCTCAGCAAGAGCTAACAGTACCTCATCTTCATCATAAATTGTATCTGGAAATGATAAAAACCAGGTACTCATCAAAAGGATAGTTGGACCAGAGCTCAAACAGAACTAGGAACAGACTAAATATGCAGCCAGTGAGATGACCCAGTCAGAATCCTAACAGCGTTTTCTTCCTTCTCATCAACACTCTTCCTGGATCTGTTTTACTAAATGAATTAGAAACTTATACTTCCATATCAATTACTTTCCCATTAGCTAAATAGTTAATGCTTTAATATATCTGACCATAGCAGATATATTAAAGCTTTTATATTATTATATATTATTTATATATTATACTTATTACATTTATATATTATATTATATTGTAATATTATGTTGATATTATATTAATAATTATGTATATTTAATATTTATAACACACACATTAAAGCATTAATATGGTTTGTTGTGTGTCTTTTGCACACAAAGCACCAGGCTCAGTTTAGTACTTAACAATACTGTGGATAACAAACCCTAAAAAATAATCCAAGTTTTGAAAACCACTGAAAAATAGAATGTCACTGCCTTTCTTTAAACAAAGATCACATGCCTGTAAGGAATGGCAGTAGTTCAGTTCGAGTCCTTTCTACTCCAAGTGCTAGAGCAATTGTTGATAACTTCTTAATACTGTTGAGCCGGAGCTTTAAAAAAGAAAGTGGAAAGAACAAAGTAAATTAACGGTTGCAATTTAGACCAAAAGACAAAAAGTGCAAACAGGTGAAATAATGACATACGGGTAAGATTGAGGATAACCTTTCATTTAGATTCTATTCACAAGGAACCTCAGGTTCAGTGCTAACACGCCTCACTAACCAGAGGAAGATTTCCTAGGAGAAACACTTTGAAAAATCCAGAAGAGAAACGAATGAAAGAGAATACAATGCCCAGGAAGTGAAATCATTTTAAAACGAGAGAACCGTGGCAATGGTGTTGCAGGTAAAACGGTTGAGTACAACTCCTGCCTTTTCAAAGAAAAGTTCCACTATCTATCCCACCCTCTTTCTAGGCAACGAACCCAGCCAGTTTCCAAGCCGAGAGGAAGGCATTCGGCTGCACTTCAAAGGGCCCGTTGGCATCCTGCGACCTGCAGCCGGCTCCAGCCGGCTCCAGCCCCCTCACGGCCGGGCACCGCGCTCCTCCCGCTCGCTCACCCGCAAGGACGGCGGGGCGGCCCAGGGCGGATGCGGCGTTGCCCCCACACGGCCCAGAAGGGGCGCCCGGGCGGGAAGCCGGCCCTCCGACAACCGCCCCGGACAGGCCGAGCGCCATGCTTCAGGGGGTCGGGAGGAAGGGTGCTGGTGAGGTCCCGAGAAAGTCGGGCGTGCCACCACAGCCCCTCACGAGTCTCTCCCCAGCTCCCTGTCAAGTTTCTACTTCAATCCCCGGGCCTCCCCCACCACGGCGCAGGCCTTCCCCCTTAACTAGACGCATCCGACCGGGCCCGCCTTAGCTCCGCGGCCCCAGTCCAGTACCTGCACGTCTTCATTGCGGAGCTCGTCGATTAAAACCGCGATCGGGTATAACGAATCGTCTCCACCTCCCCCCGCTGCTCCCGGGAGGGTCCCGGGCCCAGCCGCGCCCGCCATGTTCTTTCTCCTCTGGCAGGTCGCTGCCAGCCGCCCCGCGCCCAGGCCCCGCCCCGCGCCCCGGAAGGCGTGGCTGAGGCCCGTGCGGAGGTTGGACCGAGGTCGGGGAATTGAACCTCTGCCGGGCTGATGGAGGGCCCCTCCCGATCCCCATTGCAGAAGTTGTAGGTCTGAACTCCAGAAGAAGGGGGGCTGGAGAAAGCGAATGGAACCCCGCGTCCTTTCCCCAGCCGAAAGAAACAGGGGCAGGGATTCATCCTGCTCGTTGTGGTCTGAACGGCCCGGGGACCTTCGTGAGTGATCGGTGCTGTGCCCTCTTAGCACTCATGCCGGCCAAACAAGGTGCCCAAGGCCAGGAGGAAGAAGGCTTTAGCGCCTCCCCCGACTTATCCTGGCCCTGAGCTCCAGTCCTAATTTCTCCACTCAGCCTCAGTGTTCCACAGAACCCCTCCACCTCTTCCCTGGGCCTGTTCGCCAGAATTGCATCTGGCTCCTGCTCGATAAGACAAATAACGCGGGCGGTGAGAGAAAACGAACAGTGCTGTCCAAACTCCCCAGTCAATATTTTTTCCATGCAAGCTGTTAAAAACATGCTGCTCTCTTGTTTTTATGTTTCTTTCAGTTTGGTACTGGAATGATGCCTTCTGTTTTATTTTCTTCCTCCCATTTTTTAGCTCTTTAGCATGCTAGAAGTACAACAATCAAGCAAAACTAGGACAAGCTTTAATCCTTCCAAATTGGGTGGAGTAGCTATTTTGCCTGTATTAGAAAGATTAAATTGGCCTACCTAGACCTTCAAGAGTCCTCAAAGGCAGCAGTGGGAGGAGATGGGTGTCTGGGAGTTCTTTCATACTAAACTTAATGGAAAGTTTTCACTTACCCTTGTTAGGGCAGCACAGAATAAGTAGAATGTCCTGTCTTTTTGTCTTGGGCTGGAATTTAAGTAACTTAGAGTGATAACTACATACAATGATCACAACTTTTGGATTCTATGTGTCTAATTAACAAAAATGTAAAATTATTAACAAATGCAATTTAGGAGACTTTTTTAAAAACATGGGGTTCTTGGAAGTAAACATAGTAGATAGATAGAGCCTTTGGCAGTAGTGAAAGTTTGGGAACCAGTAGACCTGAACAGTTTCCTCAAATTAAGTCTGGATGTATTCTCTAGAATTCTAATTTTATTTTCATTTTTTTGTTGTTGTTTTTTTAGATCTGCATAAGCATATTCTGAATTATTTGGATGGCCACTTTATAACTCAGTATTGCCACACAATTTCAGCACCTGCATGGGTGCATCAGAGCTGCTTTATGATGAGAAAAAAAAAGAGGCGGATTTAAAATGAAAATGATGCTTTCATGCAGATAATGAAAGCCAAAGTAACATCATGGGACTGTACTGTCTCAGTAGTTCCAACAGAAAAGTGGTGAGAAAATTAAGATATCCTAGGTCACTTGGTGGCATAGACATTTTGAATTCAAAAGAAACTGAGCTTTGGGGCCAGCCCGGTGGTGCACTTGGTAGAGTGCGGCGCTTGGGAGCGCGGCGGTGCTCCCGCCGAGGGTTCGGATCCCATATGGAGACCGGTCCGCTCACTGGTTGAGCGCGGTGCAGGCCTGACACCGAGGGTTGTGATCCCGTTGCCGGTCCTGGTACGGGTGCGACACCGAGGGTTGCGATCCCGTTACCGGTCACGAAAAAAAAGACAAAAAGGAAAAAAAAAAAAAGAAACTGAGCTTTAGCAGGCAGTACCATAGTCACAATACAAGGGATGATTTAGTTTAGCAAAATACATCATTTGTCATGTTAAATTACTATACTACTATTAATTTGAATAGTATTAGTTTGGGGTTTCATTTGCATTTAACTAGTAAATTTGTTTTGGTTTTTAAGCTGTATAAGAACTATAAATAAAAGAATGTTATATTCCTAGTTTATATCTATAAATTTAAGTAACATTGTAATAAAAATAATTTAAGTTGACAGAGATTTCAGGATTTTTTTTTTCCTTTAAAAATGCATCCATATACTACTCAAGTTTGAGAGACAGAGAGCTAAGAAGTTTGTGATTTAGTACTTTACCAGTTAGAAGAGCAGAGGGTGTTCCTGCTGGCATGGGAAGGAGAAATTTGTTCCCTCATACCTTATGTAAAAAGACTTCAGAAATGATAAAGGAAGGAAGGGTGGAGAGAAGCAGATTAAGTCAGTTCCACACATATTATCACCTAGATATTAGCTCAAGCTTAGAAGAGCCTCAATAGACTAACAAAAACTGGCACACTGATGCTAAGCTATTTTGCTTAAAATTCCAATATGCTTTGCTTACCCAAGCACAATGAATTGGAGACCTAAAGAATAACTATGATTAAATATGAAATCACAAGCTGAGAAAACAGGCTCCAGAAAATTGCCTGTTTTGAAAGTCATCAATTCTGGACTTCAATTCCTACCTCTGTCTCTGACTCATCATGACCTACCTCTTCCTATACCTCAATCCTACCCTCCACCCCCTCACCCCTAGTAAAATGGAGGTAACCACCTCTGGTTCCCACTCTAGTTACTCTGATACTATGAGAATGAAACAGGTAATAAACAGGGCGATGCTAATAAATCCTTCAATAAAGAAAGATTAAAACAGACTGAAAAAGAAAGAGGCTATTTCAAAAACTGGGCCAAATTCAAAGGGAGTCTTTTAGGGAATGTGGTCTGCTGACCATCTGAGTAACATAAGATTTCTGTTAAAAATGCAGATTTCTGACCCCTACCCCAGACCTACAGAATCAGTATCTCTAGAAATGGGGCCAGATATTTCACAGTGACCTCCAGTGATTGTAAGGTGCACTGATGCTTGAAAGTCATTGATATAAAAAGTTCATCTGGAAGAATAATTTCCATATCAGTAAACAAGCATCTGCTCAGGTAGAGTCTGAAAAGAGTCTTAGTAGACCACCTCTGTCCAGAAAAAGCAAATGACAGCTGTAACTCCTTATTAATAAGCAATTCTGTCCCTATCTGCTGTGCTTTTGCGAGATTAAAAACATGATCTCCCTCTTTGCTGGACTGCTGGAAGTTAGCCAAGCACTACCAATACAGCACTGTAGCACCGAGCTATCTCCATATCCTCTTCTCCTTTATATTGCTCCCTCTGGTCTGTTCTCCACTTCCCACACACACCACAAGAAACTAATGACCAGGGAGCACCAGAGGCAACCACTAAGATTAGGTTGAGGATTTAAGCAGCCCTCAGAAAACAATGTGACATTCTCAGCACAAAAGCACTGCGTTGTGACACCCACATACAGTTCATTCATCTAGTGTGAATCAAGGGAAGACAGGGTTAGACCTGCCCAGATCTGTAAAACAAAGCACCAAGAATATGAGGAGGCAGATAGGATCCACAGCCATCAACTCTTGTTGAGACACTGAGAAAAGGGTCAGTCCTGAGCAAGTCTGAATGACATTGTTATTGTTTTTTCAAGCCCCTTGCCTCACATTTACTAAGCTTGCTTCTTCCTCACAGCCACGGAGCTTAACAAATAGGCATCCACAGAGTCACCCCAGTTGGCAAGGCCAAGTGCAGGAGATGTGTGGGTGGTTCTCTCAGGGCGGACCCAGACTGTCTCATTGAAGGGGCCATCAAGAGAGTGCTGGATGGCCCAATTTGGGCACAGAAAACCTGAGGCACACGGAGGCATTTTCTAATAATCTTCATTGACAAGATGACCTTGGTAAACTGATTCCTAGGTCTGTACTTAATTCACTGTAAAGTAGTAATCATCACCATAGCATTAATAATACCTTAAATTTATATTTACACAAAGAATGTCACCATTCTATGGAAAATATTTTCCCCTCAATTTCACCTCAATATTTTTGCCTTCTTCCTCTTCTGTTTTCTTTGTGGCAAATTTTAAATCCCATTTTTACGGATGGGAATACTCTAACAAAGAGAAAGACACTTTACCTGAAGTCACACAATGAATCAGAAGCAGCTATGGAACTCATAATAAGGGATTATTGATACTCCCTGCTTCGTCCCTTGCCTCCATCCACAGTTTATCACTATACAAGTCCACCCACCACATCCATGGATTTAACCAACAGCAGATCAAAAATATTCAGAAGGAAAAAACAATAAAAAAATAATATGATAATAAGAAATAATATAAAGAAATACAGTATAACAACTATTTACATAGCATTTACATTGTATTAGGTATTATAAGTAATCTAGAGATTATTTAAAGTATACAGGAGGATGAACATAGCCTATATGCAAATACTATGCCATTTTATAAAAAGGACTTGAGCATCCAATGATTTTGGTATCTGCAGGGGTCCTGGAATCAATCCCCCATGGATTTCAAAGGATGACTATATATTTAAAAGGTATTGGATTTCCAGTGTAAAACTTCACTTGAATTTTTTTCATTTTTTTAATGAATATTCATAGACACAAATTACCAGAAATTGCTTTTGTACCCCATGTCCCCACCCAATTATGGAAGAGCAAACCAAAGAAATGGGACAGTCAATTCTGGTTCAGGACTGTACAAAGATTAAGAGAATACACTCTGGAGTCAGGCAGATGTAGACTGAAAGCCCAGCTCTACCAATTACTATCTATGTGACTTTGGGCAAATAACTTATCCTCTCTGAATCTTTGTTTCTGCATCTATAGAGTGGGGCTGTCAAGCTTACCTCACGAGATTGTTAAGAAGATTAAATAATTTATATAACGTGCTTAGTGCCTGGCAAGAGGAAGCCCTCAAACATTAACCATTAATATTACGTAACATTTTCTTAGGGCCTAAAGAAAAGAAAAGAAAAAATAAATATTAACCATTATCTACTGAGAAAGTAAGAGCAGGTAAGAAAACATTCCAATCACTTAAGCTTTGGCAACAGAGAGGACCAGCATGAAAGAATAAAATAAATACATGATTTAGAGTCAGAAGGCCTCACTCAAGGCCTTCTAGGAGGTTTTCTCATTGCTAAAATACCTCCTAGAGTTGTGAGTAGTAAGATCTATAATGTAAAGTGCTTTGTTAATGAAAGCACTGTGTAAATGTTA